GGGGCTTGTGGGGTGCAGGAGGGATGTGGGATGCAGGGGGTTTGTGGGGTGCAGGAGGGATGTGGGATGCAGTGGGTTTCTGGGGTGCAGGAGGGATATGGGAGGCAGGGGGTTTGTGGGGTGCAGGCAGGGATGTGCAGGTACAGGGAGGGATGCAGGGGGTTTGTAGGGTGCAGGAGGCATGTGGGATGCAAGGAGGGATGCAGGGGGATTGTGGGGTGCAGGCAGGGATGCAGGCTGGAGGGGATGTGGGGTGCAGGGGTTTGGGGGTGCAGTAGGGGCACGGGGGTGTGCAGGGGGAGATGTGGGGTGCAGGAAAGGGGATGTAGGGGGTGCAGGAGGGGCTGCAGGCTGTACAGGGGTGCAGAGGGAGATGTGGGGGTTCACGAGGATGGGATCCAGGCTGGAGAAGGGTACACAGGGGGAAACTGCTGGACAATGGGTATAAGGGGAGAACTGGGAGTGCAGAGGGGATGCAGCCTGAACAGAAGGTGCAGGGGGGATACAGGGGTGCAAAGGGGATCCAGACTAGAAGAGAGATGCAGGGAGGGATGCAGGGGGTGATGTGGACTGGATGAGGGGTGCAGGGGACGATTCATGGGTGCAGGGGGGACGCAGGGTGGCTGGGGAGGGCAGGGGACACGTAGGGGTTACAGGGGGGATGTCAGGGAGCAGGATGGGGGGATCTCAGAGGAGGATGTAGGGATGCTGGGGGGATGCAGGCTGGGTGGTGGGTGCAGGGGGGATATGGGGGTGCAAGAGGATGCAGGTCAGAAGAGGGATGCAGGGAGGATGCAGAGGGTGATGTGGGCTGGATGGGGAGTGCAGGGGGGAGATACAGGGTGAGCAGGGGGTGTAGGGGGAGATTTGGGGATGCAGGGGGAATGCTGGCCGGCCGGCGACCGCAAGGGACGTGTGGAGGATGCAAGGGGGGGATGCAAAGGCGCAGGATGGGGGTTGCAGAGGAGGATGTAGGGATGCGGGAGGGATGCGGGGGGATGCAGAGGGGATGCGGGGCGGATGCGGGGCGGACGCGGGGGTCCGCAGGCCGGTCGGCGGGCGCTGTGGAGCCGAGTTGGGGGGGTCTCGGTGCCCCAGCGGCGGCGGAAGCGCTGAGTCAGGCGGGGATGGGAGGGGGGCTCGGGGGGTCACGCACCTTCGTCCTCTCCCATAGGCTCGTCCCTCCAGGTGCAGCACAGCAGCATCAACCTCATGCAGCCGCGCTGCCCGGCGCCGCGCCGGGCCCTGCCGCTCCCGCGCCCCTGTCCCTGTCCCTCTGTCCCTGCCCGTGTCCCCCTGTCCCGGTCGGGCCCCCCCGGCCCTGCTGCGGCTCCGCGGGCGGGACCGCGGCGGGAGCACCGCGCCGGCGCGGCCGAGCGGGGCGGGGCCTGGGCGCGGGGGGCGGGGCCATGGGGGCGAGGGGCGGGGCCACGGGGGCAATGGGCGGGGCCTGGGGGAAGCGGGCCGGGCTTTGCCCGGGGCGTGGTTTGGGCGTGGTCGGAGGGGGCGTGGTCGCGATTGGGGCGTGGTCAGGTTGGAAGGGCGTGGTCAGGAGTGTGGGCGGGGCTCGCGGGTGCAGCTTGGGAGCAGGGGGTATCAGGGGGGTCCAGGACCTGCAAGCCGTCACTGTGGGCAGGACACGGGTGTCCCCACCCACCACTGGCCATCAAGGATGTCCCCGCCCACCACAGTGTCCCCAACTACCCTGGTCCACCCATCCCTGGCCGTCATGGGTGTCCCCAAACACCCCGGGCCAGTCCCGTGGGCACGGTATGGGTTTCCCCCCACCCACCCCTGGCCATCATGGGTGTCCCCATATGCCATGGTGTCCCCAGCTACTCCCAGCCAGCTCCATGGGCAGGGCATGGGTGTCCTCACTCATCCCTGACCATTACGAGTGTCCCCAACTACCCTGGGCCACCCCCCTGGCCAAGGCACAGGTGTCCCCACCTGCCATGGTGTCCCCAGCTACTCCGGGACAGGGTAAAGCTGTCCCCCCCACCCATCCCTGGTTAACACAGGTGTTCCCACTCACCGTGGTGTCCCCAAATATCCCAGGCCAGGGTACAGCTGTCCCCACACCCACCCCTGGCCATCACAGGTGTCCCCACACTCCCCGGCTGTCACTGTGATCAGGGCACGGGTGTCCCCATCTACCCTGGGCTGTCACTGTGGGGTGTGACACAGGTGTCCCTCTCATTCGCCGTGTTGTCACTGTGGGACAGGACATGGACGTCCCCCTGTGTCCCCAGGCCACCACCATGGGGCAGGGCACAGACCTCATGCTGTGTCCATAGGTTGGCACTGCGGGACAAGGCATGGATGTCCCTTTTATTCCATGTGCTGTCACTTTGGGATAGTGCCTGGGTGGATTTGCCATCCCCTGGGCTGGCACCATGGCCATCCACTTTGGTCCTCAGACTGTGACCATGGGGCAGGGCAGAGGCCTCATTCTGAGTTCCCAGACATCCTGAGTCCTCCTGAGTTCCCTGGGCATCCTCCTTGTCGCCCAGGCCGTTGCCCCAAGACAAGGCATTGATGCTCTGCTCCCCCCCGGGACAGGGCACAGACCTCCCCCCTGGGTCCCTGGGTTGTCACTGTGGGATAGGCCACAGCCACTCCAACCATCTCTGGGGCTGGCACTGTGGGACAGGGCAGGGGCAGCCCCGGGGTGCCCAGGCTGTCCCCTCACCCCGTGACCCAGAGCTGTGACAATACAATGCCATGCCGAGGACCCAGCGTGTCCCCAGGCTTGTGCAGAGCCACAGGCACATGACATGGGCTGGATTCCTCCATCATTGCCACCACCCCGGGGAGGGGGACACGGACACAGGACAGAGTCAGAATCCTTTAAAAACTTGTCCTTTATTAGTCTGTCAGAAGCGAGTCCCTCTGTATAAGGGCGTCCCACCCAGTTATAGCAAAGTGAGCAACACGAAGGGACCGAGCCCCTCCTGCCCGCGGCCCCCCCCAGACCGGGGGGATCGCGGGGACCGACGGGGTCATCCCTCCCCGTGCAGCCCCCTGCCGCCGGCATCCCCTTCCCTCCCTCCCTTCCTCCAATGTGGGGTACCCCTCATCCTGCCCCCCCCCCCCCCCGGGGGGTCAGCTCTGGGGCTGGGGAGGGGTGCGAGACTCCGAGCCCCCCCCAAAATCCCGCAGAGAGCGATAGCACCAAGGGGGACGGCTGCTCCCCGCAGTTTATTCCGCGCTCCCTGCCGGGACCGAGGGGCTGGGGGGCGACGGATGCTGCCGGAGGTGCGGGATCCCTCCTGGGAACGCGGGGCCGGGGATGGCCCCGGGATGGACGGGGGGTTTTTGGGGAAGGGGAGGGCGTCTCAGCTTTGCTCGGGATTTACATTCTGGACCATGCAGTAGCACCAAAGTTCATGAGGTCAGCGGTGACGGCCGCGGTTACTTCCGCCTCCTCCCGCAGTACTTCCCTGCTGCGCAGCCCACGCCGCCTGCCATGGGGGGGGATGCACGGGGTGAGTCCCCCCTGCACCCCCAGACCCCTGGGGGGGGGTGCGGGAGAAAGGCGGGGGGTGCAGGAGCCGGTCCCGGCACCAGCGCTCACCTCTAAAGCCCAGGGCACCGAGGGCTCCTCCGTAGGCCTTGGGGGGCTTCCCTGCAGGGGGAAGGGGGAGCTGGGTGAGCGGGACCCCCCGCGGCTGTGGGGTGCAGGGGGATGCGCACCCCCCCACCCCAAAAACGCCCCGCGCGGGGGGGATGGACACTCACCAGCAAATCCCAGCGGGGCGCCGACCCCACCTGGAAGGAGAGCGAAGCCCTCAGCACCCACTGGGCACCCACATCGCTCTGCCCTGCACCCCCCAGTTGAGCCCCCCCGGCTCAGCAGAGCCCCCGCGGTCCCTCCCCAGGCCGTGGCCGTGTCCCTGTGCTCCGTGGGCTTTGCGTATCCCCGGGAGCCGGGCAGGCACTGGGATGTGCCCGGGGTGTGTGCAGGGGGTGGTACCTGGAAATATCGGTGACACGCCGAAGCCGGGAACTCCAACCCCTGGGGAAAAAGCGACAGCCAGTGACAGCCAGTGACAGCAGTGCCACCCCAGCCTGGGCTGGGGACACCCTGGCTGGGTTCACTTGCTCAGTCCCTGTCCCTGTCCCTGCCATGGCACCCATGTGGCTTCCCAGTGCTCAGCAGGGAGTGGCAGCAGGGTGGGGACAGCAAGTGGGGACAAGTGTAGCGTGGTGGGGGACATGCTCCCACCCCAGCCCCAATCCACAGCACTCACCTAGACCAGCACCAAAACCTGCAATGGGAGAGGCCCCAGTGAGGGTGGGGAGCATGGGATGGGGACAGGGATGGGGACAGGGACTGGAGTCACCCCTCCAGCCCCTCTGGCTGCTCCTTACCTGCCTTGGGAGGTTTCCCAGCAGCTCCTGGGTATAAGAGCCCTGTGTCAGAGAGGGGCAGCAGCACAGCCCCTGCCCCAACTTCACTGCCCCCAGGGCTGCAGCCAGACCCTTCTACGGGCCCAGAGGGTCCCCAGGAGGGACCTGCAGCTCCACATGTGGGGGATGTGGTATGGGACTGTCCCCTGTTCCCATGGCACAGGCAACACCGGTGTTATGGCCCTCAGTCCCTGCTCAGCAGTGGCATTCCCTTTGGATCACACCCTGGGAGCAGGGCAGGTGGCAGGCACAGGATGGGGCACAGGGTGACAGTGTGGGGTGGGACAAAAGTGACCCTGCATCTCCTTCATCCCGTAGACCCCTTTCCTTTTGGGCACTCTGCTGGCACTCAGCTGCCACTCCCTGCAGCCCAGCCCTGGGAGCCCCAGTGCCAGGGCCAGCATCACTCACCAACACCGAGCCCAGGGACTCCGAGGCCACCAACTCCAAGGCCACCTATGATGGGTGAGCATCAGTGAGGACAGGCAGTGTCTGATCCACTCCTTGTCCAGCCCCAAGTGTGCCCATCCTTTCTTGGGCAGCCCCACTTCCTCCATGCCCAGGGGGAGCATCCCTCTGTCCATATCCCTCTGGGGGAGCATCCCTCCACCTGCATCCCTCTGGGAAAGCATCCTGCTGCCCACATCCCTCTGGGGGAGCATCCCTCTACCTGCACATCCCCACTGCTTAGGCTTGGCTCCTGCCAGCACTTACCTGGGAGGCCACCAACTCCTGGCACTCCAACTCCGGGCACACCTGCCAGAGAGGGAACATTAATGCCTGTCCCCCTGCAACCCAGCACCCCCAGCTCGGAGCACTCCCAGCCAGGTGGCCCTGGCACCCACCCTGGGTGTCCCCAGCATCTATGACACGCAGGAGAAAAATATCCCCAGCGTGTCTAGGACAGGGGGCACAGGTGGCACTTTGCACTCATGGGTGACAGCACACCACCTCCCACACCTGGGCCACCAGGGCACAAGGGGACATGCAGGGGACACAAAGTCAGCACCCCGATGGCCACACGAGGAGGGTGCCTGGGGACAGCCTGAGATGGACCTGGGGCAGGGTGGCAGAGATACTTACCGAATTTGGGAGGTTTAGCACCTACTTGGGGGATGCCTGCCGAGTGAAGGAGGACACCACAGTTAGCATGGTCACCCCTGCACCCCCTCCCACGTGCCACCATCCTCCGTCCTTCCCGCATTCCCCCCTGCCACCCCTCTGCCTGGCTCGGTGGCTTTCAGCATTCCCAGCCACCGCTGTCCCCAAGCAGGGCCCCAGGCAGGATGTGACAAAGCACGTACCTGCCCCAGGGAGGACACCAGCTCCAGGTACTCCCACTCCTGGCACCAACCCGGGCACGCCAACACCGGGCACCGCACCGGGCACACCAACACCGGGCACACCAACACCGGGCACCCCTCCGACCCCGGCTCCTGCGGAGAGAGGGTGAGGCAGCACGGGGTGATCCCTGAGTGATCCCCATTCTTGCATGGGGTGATGTGCCTGGCACAGGGTGCCCACCCCCACCACTCCCCAGCGTCCCCTGCCCCAGTCTGTGCCAGTGCAGGTGCCCCCTGGGTGTGAGTGATGGGTTTCTCTGGCCGACTCACCGAATTTAGCTGCCTTTGCTGCTGCTTTCGCTGCTGCGCCTGGAACTCCAACCCCTGCATGGAGACAGCAGGAGGGTCTCAGCACCCCTGGAGGGTCCCCTCAGCAAACCTGGGCAGAGCCTTGTCTGCAACCCCCCAGGGGGAACCATGAGTTGATGGAGACCACCGAGGTTCTCCTCATGCCTGTCCTGCACCAGGACTGTCCCTGCACCAGCCAGGCTGCCACCACCACCCGCCTCCGTCCTCCTCACCTGGGACACCTGCAACACCAGGGATGCCTCCAACACCAGGGACCAGGCCACCCACACCGGGAACGAGGCCACCTACACCGGGAACGAGGCCACCTACACCAGGAACTGCTCCTGCAAGGAGAGAGGGAACTGGGGGATTGGGGCTTCGGCTCAGGGAGAGAAGGGGTGGGAGGAGCGGGCTGAGAAGGCATGGCAGGCTGGGGTGGGCAGATGGATGGATGGAGGGATGAATGGATTGATAGTGAAATGGATATGTAGATGGATGGATGGATGCTGAGATGGATACATGGATGGATGGATGGATGGATGGTGAGTGGTTGAATGGATGGTGGGCTTGCTGGATGGACAGTGAGATTGATGAATGGATGGATGGTGAGATGGATGAATGGTTGAACGGATGGTGACATGGATAGATGGTTGAGATGGATGAATGAGGAGTGGTTGAATGGATGGTGAGATGCGTGGGTGGATGCTTGGAGGTGTGGATGGATGTACAGGGAAGGGAACAGATGGATACTGAGGTGAGTAGTGGTGGGTAGAAGACAGTGTGGATGGACTGATGTATGAGGTGTTTGCATGGTGAACCTTGGACCTTCCATCCAGACCAGCTCTCTGGAGAGCAGTCCTGACTCAGCCAGAACCTCATCCCACCCAGAGCCCTGGGGAGAGCTCATCCCTCACCATGACCCACAGGGCTGGACCTCCTCCCTAGCCAGGGTGGGGGGCAGCAAGAGACAAGACAGGTGGGACAACCCTGGAGAGATTCCTGCTTACCAAACTTGGCTGCTTTGGCGGCTGCTTTGGCGGCTGCAGGACCAACTCCTGGGGGAGAGGGGAGGAGAGGGGCAGCGATGGGGCCGTGGTGGCCACACCGGCACCCCCAGCCAGCACCACTGGGGACACCTGAGTGTCCCACGGGCACCGCCTCACCTGGAATGCCAACCCCAGGCACCAGACCGGGCACACCCACACCAGGAACACCAACTCCGGGCACACCGACTCCAGGAACACCGACACCGGGCACACCAACACCGGGAACGCCAACTCCGGGAACACCAACTCCGGGAACGCGTCCTGCTCCCACAGAAAGGTCCCGGGATGTGGCCAAGCAGGCAGGCTCCACAGCAGGAGTCCCACTGACCTCCCCACCATCCAGAGCACCGGGGTGCCTCCCACTTCACCCCCGGGCAAATATCCCTCCTGCCCCTCAGGGAAGGGCTGGTGGGGACTCACCGATTGCCGCGGCTTTCGCTGCCGCCTTCGCCGCAGCCGCTGCGGCTGCTGGGCCACCCACTGTGGGGACACGAGGGACAGTGAGGGGACAGGCAATGCCAGCGGCACCCTACTGGCTGAGGACAGCCCAGCTGCTCACCTCCGACACCAGGCACCACGCCAGGAACTCCAGGCACGACAGGCACTCCTGGGACACCAGGAACACCAGGAACTCCAGGAACACCAGGAACTCCAGGAACTCCAGGGACACCAGGAACACCGGGAACACCAGCAATGCCAGGAACGCCAGCTCCTGCAGGCAACAAGGGAGGAGAAGTTAGATCTTGTTGCAGCAACAGTTGAAAAGGTGAGACCTCATCATGGCTCTGCTCTTGTCATCGTGCTGTGGTGAACAGAACATCCCATGGCCTTGTCCAGAACAGACCAAGCAGTGCAAGGGAAGAATCAGTTCCCTGTATTGCTAGACCCAGTTGGATGCACCTGGTGATTCCCACCAGGTTTTTGGAAGGTGGTGGGTAACCCTGGGCAGAGGTCCCCCAGCCAGAGATCTCTGCCCAAATAACAGCAAGGCTCAGCCTTTGGGCACCTGATCCTGTGTCAGGTCTGCTGCTGGAAAGCAACTTTGGTACAAACCCCAAGAATTCAGACCAAGTGCA